CAGAATAAAAGATGATCACTATTTATAGACACCGCACAAAAATCACTGCCTCCTTCCACTAGAGTCCTATGATCGCTTCTTGCTCAAAGGTTTTGCTCTTGGAGGTGGTGCCTGTAAACACATTCACTACAATTTCTCAGAGGGAAAAACCCCTTGTTCCTGAACTTTTCAAAATGCACAGCATCTGAACCATCAGAAGGCACGTCCACCTTCAGGGCTGGCCTGGCACAGGAGTGATCTTCAGCACAGCACAAAGACTGCTGAGCTTGATTTCACCCTTCTCCTAACTCCATCAAAAATGCTCTGCTTCTCAGGACCTCAGCTCTGCAATAATGACAAATGGCAGCATCTCTCTCCTTAATGAGTTCAAAGAGAAGGGGACACTTATGAATAAAATAGTCAAGACTATCATTAACATTCATGGACATAGAGGATTTAAAAAAGAGGGTTTATATTACCTGGGATAATATTACTACTACAGTTTAAGACATTCCCTGTAAATGCAATTCTTATGGGAATCATATTTTCATTGCATTAAAAAAACCTAAAATTTACAGTTTACCTAAACAATATATTTTTTTTCAGCTGACAGTATGAGTTATTTCATTGCACCCAATAAAATTCAGTGTCTGAAAAGCCCAAGTCAGTCTTCTTGCTGTAGAGTAAGACCTATACATTCTCCACACTAAATGCACCTTTCAGGAAACAAAGGGGTTTTTTCCTGGTATTGGGAAGAAGTGTTTTTATAGGGCTTCTGGTGCCAAAGAAAATTTATGAACTCCTGAGGTGTGAGGATATGGCTCATTTCTGAGGTGATAAAAAACCATTTTATTGCCTATTGTTTTACACTGGATGCTGTTCACTTTAACCCCATGCCACAGAAACTGACAAGGCAGAAGAAAACTCTGTTTTGCTGAATATAGTAGGTATTTTTTTGTCTCTTAAAAGCAGCAAAGATATGAAACCCACATGTGCCCATTTCAAGAGAAACTGAGTAAATATTCTCAGGGTTCTGGCTCCCAGCCAGATTACAGAAGTCAGCTACAGCCAGCAGAAATGAACAGGACTGACCAATCTTTTTTTCCTTTAGCCCCTGAGAATGAGGAAAGATTTTACATGTCAAGTTTTGTTATAACTACTTCAGGCCTTTCAAAGAGTTAAAGTATACTTTCAAGTTTTGCAATAAACATATTCTAAGGCTCTGCAATTGGATCCTATCTGCTTCAATGCTGGTGAAAAAAAGACAAAATTTTGAGCAAATTTTACTGTGTTAGCAAAGAAAGCTATTAAACAAAAATATATTTTTAAAATTTATTCTACCCCTCTATTCGTCTATCTATTGATTTCACAATCTGCTGCCCCCATTCCTGCCCTTTTAATCTCTTGTCAAAGCTAGTTTTGGCTGCCAGGACAAGTTTGTAATTTTGGATAAGATAGGCATCAAAAAAGAGAGTCCTTTTGTAATTCTTGACTTGGTATTAACATTAAGATGACATTAACATTAAGGAGAGAGTGGAGACACAGAAAAACAGGAAGCCCATAGCTTTAAAGTACCGTACAAGATAAAACCAGATTGGTTCCAATGAAAACTTTAGCACCACAAAGAGCTTTCACATTTTGTTACACATGGCTATAAAACACACAAGTCAAAATATTTGGCATATGGAATAGCTGAATGCAATGTCTTTGTTAATGCAATGAAGAAAGTTATCTTTCTTGTGTCCTCTGACATTAAAATTTTCTGCCATGCTGAACTGCCAAGTTTTTTTAACATTTTACCTTTCTTCACAGTTTCCTTCTGCCAGCTTATATCAGACAAATCATTAGCATCAAAAAGAAAAGCTCAATTCATACTGCTTTAAGCAGTTACCTGTGTCATCAGGTATACAGACAGACAGTAACTCTCTGATGAAAATGTCACACTATCTTATCATAGAGCCACAGTTTAAATCATCTGCTTCAGAACAACAGCAGAAAAATATTTCTGAAGGTAAAACAACTACAGGCTTTGTTTTCTTCTAAGAGAACACTGAGCAGGAGTTTCTTGACAAATGTTATCACAGTGCTTCAGATAAGAAATTTTACTACAGGCACAAAAGAAACTGAAAACTTTGAATATGGCCTGCACAGTTGAAAGGAATAGAGATGAGAAAAAGTTTCTAGATTTCCTGATTTCTGTATTATCAACCTATACTGAAGGTTTCCAATACTAAGAAGTTTGCTTAGATGGGATCTACAGTGATCTGGTGACAAACCAAACCACCTGTAATGAGCAAGGGGAGTCCCAAATTCAGGAAGAAGGGGTTTAACTCACAACTCCTGCAGATGTATCTTATATGCACCTGTGATTTTATGCATTTGATAACATCAGGCATTTTGCTTCCCATAGCAGGAAGGTGCTTTTAATATAGTTTAGATTATGATGTTGGTGGGACAGCAATCACCTGTTTCCTACTGTGATTTCTAATCTATGTAATCCACTAAAGCAACACTGGATTGAAAATGTCTTTCTTCAGCTACTTTTTGCTTCAAGGCAGCTCTACAAATCCCATTTCTGAATTGTCTCCAATCCAGAACTGCTTGTTGCAGTGGACTCTGGTGCAGATATTCACAGACCTGGAAGTGAATTACCTTTCTGTACACATCCATCTCTGTGTTTTCCTCATCTTGTTATGTTCAGCTGACAAAAGATAAGTTCTAGAAAAACTTTCCTTCTTTATGTGGAAAGAGGAAAGAAAGACTGCCATAAGAAAATCTCAAGAGGAGCAGCAGGACAGCAGACAATACTGTAAACTATACAGATTTAATCTGCAAGTGTTAGTTGCAACAAAAGGTCAGTTTTGGACCAATTTATCTGCTGCTTTGTGGGACCACCAGACAGCTGGCAGTACAACAAGTCTTCTTCCCAGCACTTCATGTTGCAACAGCAGAGGGTGTTGCAGATCAGGTCTAAGATACCCTGAGGATAACAATGTAGGATTTCTTACACATTGCTTGAATATTTTTTATTTTTCTGGCTGATTCTTTTAAGGGGTTTTTTTGGTAAGTATTAGCACAAACTCAGAAATAACCAGAAAATAATTATGATAGGAAAAAACCCTCAAACATATGCATGTATGAAAAAAGGAGGAGAGAGGAAACTGCTTTCTTACTAATATGCCCAGTCAATAAGTGAATGGGAAAGATAAAATAAAGGTTTAATCCACCTCGGGAATACTGACAGAAAGTGGTGAATCTTTAGATTCATGACCCATTTTTCACATGAAATCCCAGAGGAAATCATTGTCCTGTAATAGGTGACCAAATTTCCTCCTGATACTGGAAAACACAAAAAGAGGACAAAGATTACCCAGCAGTTAATGATTCTGGCAGATCACTTATTTCCCACCTGACAATTTCTAGGGCACCCTGATGAAAAACAAAACCCTGTGTGCTGCTTATTAGCTTCCCCCATTGTAAAAGAAATGAAAATATATGGTGCACAGAACAGCTGAAGAAGTCATAAACTCAAAGAAAAGTCTCATGGCAGAGAGAGCATATCCTTCTATTGATCCCCCTGCCTTCCTTTTGTCTAACATCCCCATGAGGAGACCTTCGAGACCAAATTTTGCAAACCTTTAGGATGACTTCCACATACTAAAAACATCATTATTTTTATTTTTTAATTTATAAAACCAAGGGAAATACCTGTCCCAAACTGGGCATTGCTCTTATGTCAGTACAATACTCTCTTTATGTCTGTTATTAAGCAAAACTACTCTATGGCTGGACGTGGCACCATAAAGTTACATGCCCACTTTCCAAAGAGCTGCCTTACTGCCTGCTTGCAAGCAGACAATGACCCACTGCAAGCATGTTCAGAAAAGGAATGCCATACTTTCCCTAGTACCTGTACCACAGCTAAATACAGAATTTTCAATGATGAGTCCTAGAAGAAGGGTTTGATGGACAGTAATGCATAAATCCTAGTTATGGACACAAACCCATAATTTCTCCAGAGTGACTTGACTGACTACTGCAATAGCTGTTCTCAGTCAGAAGCCAGCCATTAGATGCATGCATTACAAACTAAATTTAATCTTTGTTCCATGTGCTTTAAATATACAGATTGGTACAAAACAGTGTACTTTGTACAAAACATATTAATAGCTGTAGGCACTTCACACTGACAAAAATGCAACCAAGTCACAAAGGAAGAAGGGAAGTTTTACCCCTGCTTGGTGCACATAGTGTGGATGGGCCAGTCAAATGTAAGCAAGAAATCAATTCTGCTGGAATGACATGCACAGCCCTCCAGAAGCATCATATCTATTTTTAGCATAGGACACAAGACTGCCTTTTAAAGAAGTCAGCAATAAATCAGTGTTGGAGGGATGGATTGATGCAGAGAATCCTTTCAGACTGACCATGGGGTGCAAATTAAGGAGTAGGCTGAGTGCTCTCCATTTTCTCAACTCCAGACTCCTAAGTCTTTTTCCTCAGCATGCTTTGTATTGGAAGTGCTGTAAATGCACATTCTTATTTGTATTCTACCTAAACTCAGCTCAGCTGAAGGTTCATTTCATTTCAACCCATATCAAGGCTGAGAGAAAATAGATAACCTGGTCCCAGAGAATCTCCAAAGTGTCCAGCTCCCCAAACCATTCCTTGAAGGTTTATTTAAGTACATATTCCTGACACCATTTTGACAATATTTTGACAGTATTATTTGACAACTGAGTATGACACAATTAAAAGAAGAAGGCACCTCAGTGGAAAATGGGAAGCTTTCTGGCAGGTGGAAAGATCACTGAGCAACAAGTGCAGGCAAGGAAAGAAAACCACACAGTAATATTAAAGATAAAAGCAGAATATGTTACCTTCCCCATCATCACATCTGCTCCCTAAGAGGGAGATAAACTTCTTCATTGACTGAACAAGAAAGAAACACATACCCTTCAGCAGCCACGCAGATTTAGCTGAAATTTCTGTAAGAACAGCTTTTTAATGGAAAAAGTTACCTGGATTTTTGTAGATGCTAAGCACACCCTTGAAATAATGAGGTAAGAATCTTTCTAATAAAAGCAGCACATCCTCCAACTCCTCCAGAATGCCCACAAGCAGAAAATTTTCATTAACGTTCAGCTTTGCTCTTTCAAGGGCCCATTCACCAGGCTCCCTGTATGAAATTGATGGGGGAAGACGGGGGAGGGAAAAAGAAAAGTTTAAATATACATTTATTTCTCAAATTCAAGCCAAGAACACAAGTGAATAAAAAATATTCAGTGCTATACTTAGAACAAAAAAAGACCCCCCACCAAACCCAAGTAGCTTACTGAGCTTTTCCACGCAACATCTATAATTGGATTGGCATGTAAAAACAGGATCATGTCAAAAGGAGGCTAATCATTGTGTGAAAGTACTCCATTCTGAAGGGAACTTCTGCCAAGTTGTTTATAAGCTCAAACTTGTGAACTTTGGTATTTCAACTTGGAACCCATCTGATCAGAGGGATGACTGCCCTTGGTTTTGGAAGGTGCTGAGGAGTGGTGGTGTCCCTGAACTACATCAGGAGAGTGCTGGGACCAACCACTGCCTGCTGTTACTGGCAAATCCTACACAGGGCACTACCATTTTCCACCTTGTCCTTCATTTTAACTTCTGCCAAAGTCTCCAGGAGCTTCCCTTTCCCCTGTCATTGCCACCAGTTGCCCTGCAGCTTTGCTACAGGATTTGCATTTTTTTTGCTGTGACTGATACATGTTTTGGAGAACAGTGTGGGGTTCTTCTGTCTTTTCTCCCAGCAGGAGAAGCTGGAAGGACTTCACTACATCTTTATGCTTTTCTGTTTCCCAAAAGCACAATGTAGTTAGACAACCATACAAATCCTAAATCCCTTATAATAATTCATATTAGTTATGTTCTGGGAGCAGCAGCCATCATTCATATTGACACAGGATATAGTGCCAGTGTCCCAGGCTAAAGAAATCAGCTCCCCACACTGCCTGGGAGTGGCTGTAAATCACACCTCTTCCATGACTTCATTAGGTTATCGTGGATCCTAGGCAATAGTGAACTTAACATTTGTCTGAAGCTCTTTCTTTGTCACGTGGAAAAGCTTACTACTTTCCACTCCTACTAGAGCAGACTTGTAGCAGGTTTTTCATGCTCTACCACCTTCTGGGCACTGATCTGCTTTCTGGAAGAGCAAAGTGTCCTAACAAACACTATGAGCTTTCTGTTTGTAGCTCCTTAGGGGACTAAGAAGTAGCTGAAGGAAGTTCAAGGGCATACCAGGAGCCAAATCCACAAGGTACAAAACAGTACTTCAATATCCTGCTTGGGAACCTCACAGAGATATTTTGTGAAGGTATTCAGGCATGTGACTGCTGTTAATGGGATTATTCGCACAGGCAAGTTAAATGTGCAACCATAAGAATTTGCAAATAAGGCCAAAATATGTTAAAAAATGTGCAATGAAAATGAAGTCAACTTGTTTTGTTTCTTATACATAACTTCAGTTAAGCAAAAAAAAAAAAAAAAAAGCAAGATTTTACAACATAGATACTTCTTCTGTCTTAATTTCTAAGTAACATATTTTAACTTGTTATTACTGCTACAAGAAGTATGGCTTTTGAAAGAAATTCTGGAAAATGTGCAACTGTTTCATTATGGAGAAGCTTGAATAATACAGAAACAGAATACCTTGAAGTTGAACACACCTAACAAAGAACATTTGTTACTAACAATACTAAAGTGTTTAAAGCCAAGAAAGTATTTAAAATGATTCCTATATTATTGCATAAAAATTTACTATGGTATCAGTAACTCAGCATTATTAGAATGGTGTTCACAGACGTTAAAAATGAGGTAGCTCAATTAAAGCAGTAGAGGGCTGTATTCTACATGGTTTTAAGCATGAATACAGTTCCTCACATGGACACAGAAACCTGTATTTCTCATATAGACCTGATAGAAGCATCTGAGCAAATCAGAAACATGTATTACAAAACTACAACGCAGATAAATTGAGTAACCCAGAAAAAAAATCCACATAAATACATTCATATTTGATGAATTATTCATGCTATAAATCAAGAAAAAAGGATACTGCTACATTTGCAATGGCCTCCTTACTTCAAAATATATGCATGCAGTTACCACATGCAGTGCTGCATTCCTTGTACTTTCATTTTTCTCTTGTACTTCAAATAATGTCACCTCTTTATTACCCACTTCTGACAAAATGTTGGCAATAGCTATTGCTGAACAAATTGAAACACCTTGCATATATTTACCTGCATCTTGGATGCTGTCCACAGAAATATGGTATGATGTAAAATAACCTGGGATTAGAACATTCAGGGTAGTTTTCAAGGATACATACATTAATGTCCTGTGGGGGAGGAAAAAAAAAATACTGTATTTTTCTTTCTCCATTAGCAACTGTTTTCTTTATCTCAAGCTTTTTACAGTCATCTCAGGGTCAAAGAACTGTGCCAAGGCTATAAGAAGTACCTTAAAAATCATCTATTGGTCCATTTATCTACTTCTAAATATCAGCAGGGGAAACAAAAAGTTATTTTGTCCTAGAATGCACAAAGCAATTTTTTCTTCCTTGCTGCAAACCCCACAATTATTATACTGAGATTACTGTATGAGTTTAAGTGGGACACATTAATCAACTTTCATACTAAATAACATTTAAAATATTCAGGAGATTATTTTCAGGCTCTTCTTTCTTCTAAATACACCCTGGAGAAAACCTGAAGTAGCCAGAATAAATAAAATTGAGACAACATTTATTACTTTGCCCTCCCCCCCCTTTTTTTTTTTAATTCTGCTGCATTCAATGACTGGAATGAACAAATGTAAGATGGAATTTGTACATCTCACTCAATATTATAACATACATCACTTTTGGTTACAATTCTGTAAACTTCTCAGATTTTCAGAACTGAACTGTGCAAAGCCTATTGAGAAAATGGGTTATTAGAAAGTATTTATCATTTTCATGAAATATCATTCATCTAATTAGAAGCTATTTATCATTTTTCAAAGACTTGGCATAGCTACTGAACCCTGAGGAACTGCATTCCATTTATAGCTTTACTTCAGCACAATAATAAACATGCAGGACTGAATTCCATTATCCAAATCTAATAGAGCCTTACTCTGTAAGCAGACACACCCTCTGCAGAGACACACAGGGCAAAAAAAAATGCATAAGACAACTAAAGCAAGGATGGAAGGATCTCACCTGTGCAGAATCAATATTCATTGTTATTTAGATAAGGGCTTTCACAATGCCATAGGCAATATACACATCAGTATTAAGCCAACAACTAAACAAAACCATAATTTATCAAGTAAATAAAATGTGATAGAGAACATTCCACAAGACAGATGTGTTTGGCAGCATGGAAAACACGGAGAGCATCCCCTGCTCTCCTCAGAGAAGGGCAGGGTACAGGTCTCCAGACACAGCATCTGCATCTGAGGCCTCATCAGAGAAAAGCTCTTCCCAGAACTTCAGTCCTCTCACCTAACTTCATTGGATCCCCATTTTGGCCTGTAAGCCTTTTAAAGTACATTTCTGATTCCTACTCTGTCTCACAGTCATTGAATCCAACTTCATAAGCACACCAGAAAACTCTGGGCTAGAAAGTAAATCACATGGGGAGGAACCAATAAAGAAAGCAACATAGAAATTGCCAGCTGGGATACAAATGATCCATTTCCCCTGCTCCCCACAGTATATTCAGGGCATGCCTTAAAAACATACCAGAAGATTTATGGTCAAGACCTGAATTTTGACATTAAAGGCGCTGAGCTGAAGCTAACCAGCCTCCCATTCTCCATGCTATTACTAAGAAATCTTAGTGGATTGTGGATGTACAGATTGCACAGGCAATGTCTCTCCTGTCATCCCAATAGGGTTTTTTAACATGAATTACAAATTGCACCTCTTTAAAGGCTTGTTGTGCTTTTACTATAGACAACACCAGAGATGTTTTCAGTGATACGTATTTTTGGCTTTCATAAGAAACTAAAGACCTGCAAAAAATTAATAAATCTCTTGGATTTTAAAAAAACCTGAAATATTGCCCTGACAATACTTTAAATTATGTCCAAGTTGGCTTGCACTTGGTAGACAGATTAGATGGAAGGTGGGTAGAACACCTACATAAGACTTAAAAATCTCTACCAACACCCAGCTAATAACATTTTCTCTTTTCTCACGCTCACACAAAGGCAAAAGGACATTAGCTCCCAACAAAGAACCTTACAATTTCTTTACAAGAATAATGAATATGATGAGTCAAGAAATATTCTCTGAGATAAGTATCAATACCCAACACAAAAGTGTAACCGGGACCTTCTTGCAATTGTGAAAACAGTATTTGATTCACATGGCCAGAGAAACATCTATACAATAAAGGATTGTAAATGTAAATTCATGTGGAAAATCCTGCAGCTTTAGCAACAGACAGCCGACACTAACTGAAAAAGAGATTTTTAGTGTCCTTTTTAGGGTAAAATGATGTAGGACTACTGAAACAACCAGGCTCTAATCTAATCTCATCTCCCCCATTCCCTGTTGATAATTCAAGGTTTAAGATAAAGGCCAGGTGAGCTTTCATACAAACCTACAATATTTTGCCACACAAGGACATGCACGTCACCCTCCTGACATCAGAAGCACCAGGCTTTCTCCACAGCAGAAGCACTGCCCCTTGCAGGCTTTGTTTTCCAGCACTGCTATGATCTGTATTCCAGCTGCTGGAGTGTCCTTGTGCATTTGCAGCCCCTGCTCACTCCCTGACATGTGAAATCAGTTTTCAACCAAAAAGTGTGTGAAAAAAAAGGTCAGCCTGAGGTGAGCTAGTCATTACAAAACTTAAACACACCTACGGGAGATGCTTTTTGGTGCCAGTGGCACACAGGAATTTCTGGGGTTTTTTCGCAGCATGGAAAGTCAAGGTGAAACAACATTATCCTAGGCAGTGTCACTCTGCTATCCTAGGCAACATTAATTAAGCCACATCTCCAAGTAAGAACATGCTTTCTCAGCAGAACACAGATCTTTCAGGGCAGAAATGTTTCTACATGAGACAAAAATTTGCAAGGTGACAGATGAGAGCCATGCTCATTTAAATGACTGGAGTAGCCTTGTAAAAAAATTATTTTAACACAGTCAGGAAAGATACAGAAGGAAACACACAGAGCTACTTTGATCACAACCTTTCAAAATAAAGAAAGCAGTATTTTACTTCATTCCTCAGCTCCTGGCTACAATTCATATCACTCACATCCCACGGTGCTTGTGTCTTCTTCAAAGGCCTGGGAATCAGCCCTGCAGCTCCAAGTAACAACAGAAACTATCTTTCTTTTAAATAATACTCTATTTTTCTACTCATGTAACAATTCCGTCTGAAAAATTAAACCGGTAATTTCTGCTTCCTTCTTCTGTAAAATTGTCTTTGAAATGAAAATCACAACATGCCTTAATCCTTTAATCTGTCAATGAGTCAGACAACTGATCAGAAATATATCAAAACTGCATTATTAATATCGGTTTTTTTTGAGATTAGTAATAAACTATTTCATTTGCCAGAGTGAGCTCATACATGCTGTAAGCGGAAGTCAGCACCTGATGAAAAATATTTCACAGAATCATTGAATTATCAGGTTTGGAAGAGACCTTCAAGATCATCTAGTTCAACTGTTAACCCAGCACCACCATAATCAATCCTAAGCCATATCCCCAAATGTCACACCCAGATGCCTCTTGAACACTTCTGAAGATGATGACTCTATAATTTCCCTGGGCAAGTTATTCCATTGTCTAACACCTCTTTCAGTAAAGTTTTTTTTCTAATATCTAATCCGAGCCTCCCTGATGCAACTTAAGGACATTTCCAACCATCCTTTCATTTCCTCCTCACTAAAACTCCTTTCAGGTAGTTGTAGAGAGTGAAGGGCTACAAAATTGCTTTTGGAATTTTAATTCCATCACAAAAAGAGCAAGCTTTAAGGTGTTCTTTTGCAGAACAATAAGCAATTTACTCAAGTCAATGTCTTATGACAAATACTGTATCATATACAAAAGGATGTGACACATGATTTGAGAACTTTTTTCCTCCAAATACAAAATCCTACGAGTACTGACAGAAATAACTTGGCTTTTATCCAGTAGAAGAAACACACACACAAAAAAAATATCATATTGGGTTTCAAGGTGTAGTAGCCTACACATGGCCTGTAGGTTTCAAAGTATAAATAATTATAAAATTATAACGGAAATATGTAATCAGTTACATAATTCCCTTACTTACATAATTCAACCAGGAAGAGCAGGCCCAGGCTGTTGGAGACTCAGGCTTCTACTGGCTGGCTGACCAGGCAGTAACTGGCTGGTTAGTTACTGGCAGTAACTAACAGCTACTGGCAGTAACTCAGGATTAACCTCATGGGCTCCTAAGATATATAAGGGAGCAAGATCTGAATAATGTGAACTGCTGCTGCATGAACTCAGTGTGTCCTGTCACTGGTCTGTCTCCAAAACTGTGACAAGTGGTGGACCACAATGTGATCACAACAGCTGCCACCAAAAGAGTGGGGAGACAGACGGGACAACCAGGAAGAGTTGCCTGCAGCCTTTGAGCTGTGAGGAACGGCATATAGAGCCGTGATTGGTCCGGATCCCCCTTTACTTTTTCTTTTAATTTTTCTTTTTGTAACTGGAAGACACCACCAGCATGGGAGCATGGGCTTCAACACCGGAGGACTCCCTCCTGAATGTATAGACACCCACTTTAAAGAAAAGATTTGAAAAATATGAGGAATGGGCCTTATTTGCCCTCATAACATAGTGTGAGAGCCACAGACTGGATGTATCAGAAGGGGCTGCACTAGATTTAAAAACTTGGGAGCAGGCTGGACGACATATCTGTACAGCTGCCTCCACAGGAGATGACTCTGCCATTTATGTTACTAAACCATGGAGACTCATAATGAACATGATAAAAATGTTGCAGAGTGAGCAGGTGGTGAGAACAGCAGAGGGACCGAAAGCAGGGCACTGAAGGAGGCAGCGGGGTGAGCAGATGCTGTGCCAGCTTGTTACCCAACAGGCTTAGGGTCGCCTGCTGTTGATAATATGGTACATTTCTTAACAACAGAGAGGGTAACTCCATTTGATATAAAGCAGCTTGCTAAATTAATGTTTTCAACAGTCCAATATTTGGTGTTTGAATCTGCATGGAAAAGCAGTGTGGAAAAACAGCAATTAAAAAATCTAGATTTTCCAAATGAAGATCCATGTTATGAGCCAGAGGCCTCTCAACTCCTGGGGCTGCCACCAGCGAGTGATCCACAACTCCAGGCTAGGCT